GATAACTGGAGAGTAATAAATAAATTAGTCGTAACAAAACTCACAAAAGTGCCAACGCTAATTAGATACGCAATAATGGATATAGATAGATAGAAACAATTACCAGGTCAGAGATGCTTATAAGTGTCACCCTAAAAGGCCATATTTTATAATCCCAAATAAACAAACTTTACAGCTTACAATACAGAATTACACGATGAATATCAATAAATTGAATGTTTTTCTTGGTTTTTATTAAGTTATTTTTACTGCCCGGATATATTCGAATCTGAACATTTTAGCGACATAAGTTGCGACGCCGACCGTATATATACGGGTCTGCACATTTTGGCCGGTTTTGCACGCCCGTGTTAATACGTTTCTGCGCGTTAAGGGGTTAAAACGGAATAACTTTTTTCTAAGTGGGCCGAACTGTATAAATATTTTGCGAAGCTCACAGGGCTTGAGGAGCTTACTAGACAATGGCTAAAAAATTGTTCTCAAAAATTGCAATTTGTTGGCGCGATAAAAGAATGGAGAAATGAAGTTTTTTCAACTTTTTTATCCGGGAGTGCGACGGAAATTTGAAAAATACGTTTTGTAGATCTCGGTAACATTGAGTAGATACAATTTTAAACAGTGAAAATATTCAAACAACTTAAGTGCATGTATGTTTTATTTTCGATTCATTTTCAATCCTTTAAGTGTGTCCAATCCATAGGTTGCGCGGTTGTGCGACGCTGTTTAATTTATCGTATTTATGAAAATGTAGATCCAGCATGATCCATATACGATTTATATGACAAGTAATATGATCTGAATGGCATTCGTATGACACGAGTATGATATATAAAATAGTAAAAATAATATAAAAAATAGATACCTCTACTTATGCTTTCTCGCTTTTTAGCAAACACTCGAAGGATTAATGTAATAGACGGATCTATCTATCCAGCTCATATTTCTCGCGTGACATCCCGCCAACCACAAACAATATACGTGATTCGTCCGTTCTTTATCTTGGTCCGTAATCCGATTTTATGTTTTCGTTTAAACGCCAACGTAAGAGATAGAACCGTTCTTTATACATGCTTGATCTTCAGAGAATGGAAGACCAGCACAATTCACGGTAGCGGGTATCAGGAAAGCGGCGCGCGCCTAATCGTCCAAATTAGGAATTATAGTGCGCCGCGCCGCCATCTTTTCCTATTCTCTTTGGACCTGAAGCTAAGATGCTCGGGAACGGGGTAATAAAATACCCTCGACCCACCTCCGTTTACAACTCTTTTCTTGCTCGCGTTGGAAGGTGCTACGATGAAAACGAAGAGGAGCGAAGAAGGGCAAAGAAACAGGCTTGTTCTCGACCGTGTGTGTGCGCGCGTGTGTGTGCACACGTGTATATACGTACGTACGTACGTATGTATGTATCTATGCGCTCGCCGGCGGAGGCGAAAGTGAGGGCTCCGGAAATTAAGGTCGCGAAGCAATACCACGCACCGCCCTGTTCATTCTCTATTCTATTTGTCGGCTCTAATGAAATACTCACGGCTCTGTCGATGGAAAATACGGAAAAAAATCTAAATACCTCTCGTCGAAAAATCTCAATTTTCCGATGTCTCTGGTATCTCCATAATTAATCACGGTTTCGGGAAGACAATGACCTTTTAATAAGGTTTCGCGGCTGGTGAAACCTCGTTTAATTCTGAAAGGCTCTCTTGGCTCGTGGTTTTCTTTTTTGAACACTCGCGCGGGCTACGGTTACCGGATCATTTTGACTCGGTGTACATAAATCGTCACTTCATTAACAAATTTTCGTCGATTGCACGAAATATATTGCTGTTATATTCGGAACAATAGAGGGAATACACTTATCTTTTTACATATTGTTTCTTAATTTAGTTGTACATTTTAAACGTATTAGACGCGTAGGTGTGTTGCTAATAATTATATAGTACAATATAATAATATATAATATATGATAATAATAATGCATAATGATATATATTATATGATTATATGATATGATATGATATATTATATTATATATTATATGTATAATAATATAATATAATAATTATATAGTATAGGCTTACATAGCATTCAATACAGAAAAATATGTTTTTACAAATTAAAGGATCAATCTGCGAATGGTCGTCAACATTGTCAACTGTATAGTTCCGAAAACGGTGCTGAAAACCAGCAAAGAATTCCGTGTCCTGAAGTTTTTCAATTATAAAAAGTATAAAAATTATTATTAATAGATATGAAATTAATCAATGTACAGAACTTACTTGTAATATTCTCGAACCTCTACAATTTGTGCCGTAGAAACATTTGATAAACAAAAGAGTCAAAATAGAGAGTTTAGGATAGCCTTACACCCTCGATTCAGCGTGGATATATCTCAGGAGAACTTATTATTACCGAATAAGTGGCTGAGCAGTGAAGTTTGCGTACATCAAAATGCTTTTAAACATCGGTCGACGAACGTACATAATTGCACATTGCCGATCCATTTAGAATGAGTTCCACTATTATCGGTGGACTGTGTATTTTGTGCATTTATGACCGAAATGAGTGGTTCAAATACAAAACAGTAAAAGCATTCAGAGAATTTACAAATACCGTTGCACCTATTGCTAGGAATCCATTAAAATAATTAAGAAGAGAAATCAATATGTGCGTACAGTGGATAAAAAAAAAAAGGTATTCCGATACGGTTTAAAACGGTGTAACTTTTTTAAAACCGAACCGAACGACTTGAATTTTTTGGAGATGTTATACTCAAATGAGAAAAACAAACTGTTAAAAATGATGTATTTTTAACTTTTTTATTTGGGCGCTAGCGAAAATCATCGTTTTTCCACGATTTTCCACCAAAAGAACTGTGTGAAATCTAGAGATTTTGACATCTCTCAACGCCTGCAGTTTGACTCTGCATTGACCGATTTCGATGACAATTTCACTATGCACCGAGATCAATATTACCGAGATTTACAGAAAGGTTTTTTTTAAATTTTCGTCGTAAGTTCAGATGAAAAAGTTAGAGACACGTGAGTTTTTTTTTATTCTTTTCGTTATTCTAAGTAATAGCAAAATTTAAAAAAAGTGTTTTAACGAATAAAGTAAAATCTCTAACATCTCCGAAAAATTTAAGTCATTTAGCAGAGTTTTAAAAAATGTCATACCTTTTTAAATGGTGTCGGAATACTTCTTTTTTTTTTTACTCGCTGTGGCTTCTATGTCTCGCGGTTAATAAAGATAGTTTTCATTTTGTATACAAATCCACAGTCTAGTCATCAGTAATCTTATTAGGATTACTAGGTTACCTACCTATTTTGTTACATCATTCTGTAAGTGTATTAGATGCGTCCGACATGACTTAGGCTAGTGAAACTGAACTACATATCGCAAGTAATCCTTTTTCATGGAAGTTGTTGACAGATATGTCGCTTCTGCGACGTCACAAATTATGAGCGATGATGAGGTTAAAACTAAACGTGTCATCTTTATTAGCAAAAGACGATGCATTTTGTACGTGGCTATAAATCTACGGACATATTTCGCGTTAAGGTATCAGCATCGCACTGAGTACAGTAATTTTTCCCTAATTCGCGCTCAGTTTGCGCATAAAAGTGGACAATTTGGGAAGAGGAGATGCGATTATTCGAGCCTTGCTTAGTTACCCATTGTCAACAATTATAAAAATGAGTCGCAAGATTCGAATAATCGTATCTTCTCTTCCCAAATTGTCCATTTTTGTGTGCAATCTGAGCGCGAATTAGGGAGAAATTATTGTATTCTGTACGAATACCTATCGAACAATGTGCAACACTGATTCTGTTCATGCGCGTATCTGCAAATATTTCAAAATTTATTTCTCAATTGTGACAATGAAGTTCTTCTTCATGCCGGCATGTCCGTAAGACGGCATCTTTTTTTATTAATTCCAAGTCCAAATTCCACGTGGGTCAGAATTATATATCATATCTTCAGCGACGAACAAGCGCAACCTAAAATTAATCTCGCACTTTCAAAGAACGAGAATCTAGTTTTATTCGATGACAATTTCATTCGCAACGAAGAAAATATAAGTTATGCACGGAACGTCGGCTTGGGACACGGGGTACACGATCCACGGCTTTTCTTCTGTCGATCATCGCTTCGTATCCCCCCGTTTCCATGGATAATTATTCATACCTTAGGACCATCAATCACGGATGAAACGGATTCCATTGAATCTCTTAAATGAAAAAGAACGATTGTAGACAATTCCGGGCACAAATGAAAAGTACCGTCGTCTTCAGGTCGGCGCGATACTTTCGGATCATCGACGGTACCTTTCTTTTTTTGTAGTTAGCGTATTATTCTNTGTGTGCAATCTGAGCGCGAATTAGGGAGAAATTATTGTATTCTGTACGAATACCTATCGAACAATGTGCAACACTGATTCTGTTCATGCGCGTATCTGCAAATATTTCAAAATTTATTTCTCAATTGTGACAATGAAGTTCTTCTTCATGCCGGCATGTCCGTAAGACGGCATCTTTTTTTATTAATTCCAAGTCCAAATTCCACGTGGGTCAGAATTATATATCATATCTTCAGCGACGAACAAGCGCAACCTAAAATTAATCTCGCACTTTCAAAGAACGAGAATCTAGTTTTATTCGATGACAATTTCATTCGCAACGAAGAAAATATAAGTTATGCACGGAACGTCGGCTTGGGACACGGGGTACACGATCCACGGCTTTTCTTCTGTCGATCATCGCTTCGTATCCCCCCGTTTCCATGGATAATTATTCATACCTTAGGACCATCAATCACGGATGAAACGGATTCCATTGAATCTCTTAAATGAAAAAGAACGATTGTAGACAATTCCGGGCACAAATGAAAAGTACCGTCGTCTTCAGGTCGGCGCGATACTTTCGGATCATCGACGGTACCTTTCTTTTTTTGTAGTTAGCGTATTATTCTTTGCTCCTCCGGTCCGGAGATCCGCCGGTCGAATCAAATTTCAGCGAGATGTCTGCGGACAAAGGCAAGACAGTTTCGAAGGGTTTGTTTTAGGACCAATTCTTTTGTCGTTTCCTGACGTTTCCCGAAGGGTTTACTTACCGGCGCACAATTGTCGCCGAGCCATCCTGCACGAGGAAACAATGAACTCACCGTCGCAATGAACGCGCTTCTTCGATTTTGCAGGTTTAACGTCTTTCTGATCACAACTAGAAAAGCAATTTGGGAATTCGCTTAGACGAAACTCGGTGTTTCCTAGATTATGTTACTTTTGTGAACATTAGACAATATTTAACGTACAGAGATCTGCTATTTTTCTAAAACTATTTATGCAACTATTAAGTATTATTAGATAATCAAGATCATTAATACGTCTATTAATTAATGCAGAACAGATGTGCCGTGCTTTATCAATCGATTATTTCTTGTAAGTAATTTCAGTTTTCAGCTTGATCATAACAAAGTGAAAACAAAGGTCTGGCTGTAAGAAAGTAAAACAGTTTATTAATAAAAGTGCATGGCTACGGAAGAGTAAAAGTGTAATTATCTTTATTTCTATGAATTAAGGACTATTCATTTCTATAAAAAGAAACTATAAATATATGTTATGTATGATACATACATATATATAAATATATGTATGAAACTATTAATATATGTTATAACATATAATATAAATATACATTATATAAAATAAAAAAAATATAGAAAATATGAAAGAAAATGTGGTTTAGTATTTTACGAACTAGAATAGTAATTCAAGTTTTATCGTATAACCCAATAATTGCAAGAGTCGTTTCTATAAGATTTAGTAAACATGTCATAGTTACACTTCGCTGCAAGATGGTAGGAAGTTACACCTCAGAATAAAGTTTAAAGGCTATATAATCAAATTCGCAGTTCTAAGAAAAACATTGGATGTTTCGCTATTATCCTGTACAATTTTTCCCGAAATTTTGCGAAGACAGGAGCTTCGGAAAACAGCTCGATAAGTATATTTCGTTACGATTCATGCTCGCGTTAAGGGGGTGACACTGTTCTGGAAAGTTCAGACGAAGAAACTGTGTAACTACGTCTAATAAATGCATCGCACACTGAGAAATATTCGAATTTACATAGCATTCCTATTCTCGCAGCGAAAGCGAGTCGAGCGCGGATGAAAAGAAATTTCACAGGGAATTTTCTTCTCTTCACGCGAAAATTCGAGGTTTCACGTACGATTTTTCCAGCGTCGAGAACATAGGAACGCGCCGCGCCGGGGGATTCTTCGTGGACCCGGTATCCGCGAAATTATTTCGTTGATCGACCGGAGAAGTACGCCTCGGGTTCGGAGCGTTTTTCCACGCCGATGAAAGTTTCAAAGAGCGTCGGAGCCATTACAGGGCAGCCATTGAGCCGCGACTTGGTTCGCCGGCTGCAGTTGCTGACGTGAATACAGTATCAGTTCGAGCCTGGCGTAACAGTTTCTTTTTTTTTGCCGCGTTAAACTCGGTCCATTCGCGTCGCGACTCGCGAGCGACGTCTCGGTTCCTCTTGAAATTGCGACGACGCGAAGTGTCGCGGCGCCGCGTGAGGAATCAGCTATTGCGAACCAAATGATCGCGAAACTGGAGCATAATAATAATAACAGTAATAGTAATGGTAG